GGACACAGACTTTAGTGTGGTGAAGACCTGGGAAGGGGGCAGGAACCGGATGGAGGGAGTTAATGGGAGGGAATAGAGAGGAAATCTGTAATTGTTTCAATAATAAAGATAACTTAAAAAATAAATTTACGCTTTTCCATTATGGCTCAGCAGTTGAGCATTGACCTATGATTCAAGAGATCACTGATTCCTGGTCATGGCACATGCCCGGGTTGCAGGCTCAGTCCGCAGTAGGGGGTGTGCAGGAGGCAGCTGACCAATGGCTCTCTCAGCATTGATGTTTTTATTTCTTTCTCTCTCTCTCCCTTCCTCTTTCTGAAATCAATAAAGATATATTTTTAAAAATAAAAAAAATTAAATAAATTTATTCTTGTATATGGTGTAAGAAGGTGATATAGCTTCCTTTTTTTGCATGTACCTGTCCAGTTTTCTTAAACACTATTTATTTACTATTCCATTGTATATTCTTGCTTCCTTTGTCATCAATTAATTGACCATATAAGTGTGAGTTTATTTTTGGGATTTCTATTCTGCTCCATCAGTTTATGTGTCTATTTTTATGATAGTACCATGCCATTTTGAATGCTATAGTCTTGTAGCATGTTTGATATCAGATAGCGTGATACTTCCAACTTTGGTTTTTTTTTAAATTAAATTTATTTGGGTGACATTGGTTAATAAAATTATATTGGTTTTAAGCATATGATTTTATGTTACATCATTTGTAAATTGCATTGCGTACTCACCATCCAAAGTCAAATCTTCTGCCACCATATATTTGACACTCTTTACCCTTTACTATATCTCCACCCTTCTTTCCTCTGGTAACCACCATACTTTTGTCTGTGTCTATTGTCACAACATGAATGGATCTTGAGTATATCATGCTAAGTGAAATAAGTCAGTCAGAAAAAATTAAGAACCATATGATTTTACTCATATGTGGGATATAAAACTGAAAGCAACAAATGGAAAAACACGAAAAATCAACTTCATTTTCCCCCCCTCTCGATTGCTGTGACTATTTAGGGTCTTTTGTGGTTCCATATGAATTTTAGAATTGTTTCGTCTAGTTCTGTGAAAAATGCCATTGGCAATTTGAAAGGGATTTTATTAAATCAATGGAATACTTTGGTACAATTAACATTTTCAGGATAATTCTTCCTATCCATGAGCACATATATGCTTCCATTTATTTGTATCTTCTTCAATGACATAATTTTTCAGGTCTTCTACCTCCTTGGTTAAATTTATTTGGTCTTATTTTATTTTTTTGATGTAATTGGAATTGAGCTTGTTTTCTTAATTTCTCTTTCTGGTAATTGTTTTCAGTGTATAGAAATAAAAATGACTTTTGAATATTAATTTTGTATTCTGCTACTTTACTGTATTCATTTATCGGTTTGAATAGATTTTTTTTTTTGGTAAGACCTTTATGGTTCTTTCTACATAGTATCCTATTATTGACAAATAATGACAGCTCTACTTTTTTTTTCCCCCCTCCAATTTTAATGCCTTTTATTTCTTTTTGTATGATTCCTGTGGCTTGGACATCCAGTACTATGTTGAATTAGAGTGGTGAAAGTGGACATCCTTGTCTTGTTCTTAATCTTAAGGAAAATGTTTTTAGCTTTCGCCCATTGAGTATGATGTTGGCTATAGGTTTTTCATACATGGCTTTTATTATGTTGAGGCATAATCCCTCTAATACACTTTGCTGAGAGTTTTTATTATAAACGGGTGCTGGATTTTGTCCAATGCATTTTCATATATCTCGATATGATTACATGATTTTTATCTTTCCTTTTGTTTATGTGGTGTATCATGTTAATTGATTTGCAGGTGTTGAACCAACCTTTCATTCCAGGAATAAATTCCACTTGATCATGGTGTTTGATTTTTTTATGTATTGCTGAATTTGGTTTGCAAGTATTTTGCACCTGGGATCATCTTAGATTTTGTTCTTTAATTTTCTTTTGTAATGTCTTTGTCTGGTTTTATAATCAGTGTGGTGCTGCTCTCACAAAATGATCCTGGGACCTTTCCCTCCTCTGGAATTTTTTGGGAAAGTTTGAGAAGGATTGGTGTTAATTCTTTGGTAAAATTTACTTGTGAAGCCATCTGGTCAAGGACTTTTGTTTGTTGGGAGATTTTGATTGGATTTCATTAGTAGTAATTGGTTAGTCCAGATTTTATATATCTTTTTGATTCAGTCTTGGAAGATGTGATGTATCTAGGAATTTATTTCTGCCCAATTTGTTGGCATATAATTGTTCATAGTATTTTTATAATCCTTTTTATTTCTGTTATGTCAGTTGTCACTTCTCTTTCCTGTCTGATTTTATTTATTTCCTTTCCAGTGTAATACATTTATTGGAAGATTACTATATACATACTTTAAAATATGTTTTAAAGGTTAACGTTAGCATTTGGCTTCATGATTTTAAAAAAAAAATATCTTTATTAATTTCAGAGAGAGGAAAAGAGAGGGAGAGACAGAGATAGAAACATCAATGATGAGAGAGCCATTGATCAAGCCCACAACCCGGGCATGTGCCCTGACTGGGAATCAAACCCTGATCGCCTAGATCCTAGGTCGACGCTCAATGGCTGAGCCACACCCGGCTGGGCTTCATGATTTTTAGTTTCTTTCCATAAACAGTATTCAATGCCATCAATTCTCCAGCTAAATAAAATATTGTTATTTCTATTTTAAAATGAGGCAAAGTGACATAGAGATACTTACATGTTAAGTAACTTATTCTAGAGTTATTTGAATAGTGGTTTAGAAAATTCTGCAAACTGGCAGTGACCTATCCAAACTTGAAGTTTCTTTTGCTCTATTATCTCTTCTTTTAATGGGAAATTTGGGTAGACAATTGGGCACATGTCAGGACAGATGTATTAACCTCTCAAGGTAGTTTTAATTATTTCAAAGGCTATCATGGAGCTAGTTCTATATAATTCAACTGAATGGAATTCAATTTAAATAAACTTGAAATACTTATTGGTTGCCTCCTATAAAGTAGATGTTGCTCACAGGATGCCACAGTTTAACAGGCATGAAACCTGTGTAACCATTCATTGAAATACAGTGTGAATGGGGGGATGAGAAGATATGGTACAAGGTGTAGAGGTAGCAAAGTTAAGAAGTGTGATTAGGATTTCTCCAGGCTCACAGGGGTTGGGCAAGGGCTTTGTTGGCAGGAAACAACCTGAGCAAAGGCAGGAGGGGAGCAAAAGCATGGCAGGTATGGGAAGTGCACATAATTGGTTGCTGAAGTACAAAGTAGCTAGAAGGTGAAAAAAAGGAACAGCAGGAGATGAGTTTGGTGAAAGTGGTCGAGGTGCTCCAGAGAGCACTTTGTATATGTTACCCTAAGTCAAAGAGATAATAATAGCATGTCAAAACTCCCAAAACGTGTTCTAGATTATACTATCTGTTTATCATTTCTACACCACAGAGTGATCTATGGTGTCTTTTTAGAAGTAAGCAAGACTTTTTTGTTGCATCAGCACCAAAAGAATAGGTTGTTTTTGAGCTTGCTTCCTGGAGGGTGGATAAGAAAATAAAAGAAGAGTAACCCTGAAGATTTAGTTTTAACTTCCACATCTAAGTGAACCCTTAGTACTTACCTAGAGGTGTTAACATTTCTGGTCATTGATTATGTTTAAAAATTTGGTCTTATGGATGAAACTGTTCTGTGCAAAAGAACCATTTTAAACATTAACCAGATTGTCTCCTATTCCAGAATTGTTCAGTTGCTTTGGAACTCTGTCCAGTCATGGCACTCTGTTCAGTGCCACAGTACATGAATTAAGCTTACTTCACCTTTGATATATCAGCTGTATTTTCGTTTATTCAAGTTAGTACCTCAGTCATTGTTGATGGAGCGCAGTGAACTAAGGAAATGACAAATATACAGAAGCACACTCCCTTTCTTTTAAATTGTTTACACTATTGCAGAGGTCCCACATTCTGCACCTCCTCTGGGCCCCCCTCCACCAAATCCACCCTCCCAGTTGTTCACCACATTTTTGTCTGTGTCCACATACATATATATGGTCCTTGGTTAATCTCATCCAGTCTCCCTCACAGCCCTCCCCTCTGAGATCTGTCAGTCTGTTCCAAGTATCCATGCTTCTGGTCCTATTTTGTTCATCAGTTTGTTTATTAGATTCCACAGATAAGTGCAATCATGTGATATCTGTCTTTCTCTGACTGGCTTATTTCACCTAGCATAATAATCTCCAGGTCCATCCATTCTGTCCCAAAGGATAAGAGTTCCTTCTTTCTTACAGCTATGTAGTATTCCACTGTATAATTATACTACATCTTTTTATCCACTCATCTACTGATGGGCACTTGGGCTGTTTCCAGATCTTGGCTATTATAAAAAACACTGCTGTGAACATAGAGGTGCATCCATTCTTTTTGATTGGTGTTTCAGGATTCTTAGGATATATTGCCAGAAGTGGGATCACTGGGTCAAAAGGAGTTCCACTTTTAATTTTTTAAGGAAACTCCATACTGTTTTCCACGGTGGTTGCACCAGTCTGCATTCCCACCAGTAGTGTACTAGTGCTCACTTTTCTCCACAATCTCACCAGCACTTGTTCTTTGATTTATTGATTCTAGACATTCTGGCAGGTGTGAGGTGCTACCTCATTGTAGTTTTAATTTGCATCTCTGTGATGATTAGTGATATTGAGCATTGTTTTATATGTCTATTGACCATCTGTATGTCCTCTTTGGAAAAGTGTTTATTCAAGTCCTTTGCCCATTTTTAAATTGGGTTGTTCGCCTACCTTTTGTTGAGTTGTATAAGTTCTTTATGTATTTTGGTTATTAACCCCTTATCAGATGTATCATTGGTGAATGTGTTCTCCCATTATCAATATGTTCCCTTTTCATTTTGAGGATGGTTTCTTTTTCTGTGCAGAAGCTTTTAAGTTTGATGTGGTCATATTTGTTTATATTTTTTGTTTCCTTTCTCTAGGAGATGTATCAGCAACATACTGCTACTCAAGATGTTTGAAATTTGTTTTCTTCTGGGATGTTTATGGTTTCTTGACTTACAGTTAAGTCTTTTATCTATTTTTAGTTTATTTTTGTGTATGGTGTGAGTTGGTGGTCTAGTCTCATTTTTTTCCCATGTACCTGTCCAATATTCCTAACTTCACTTATTGAAGAGACTCTCTTTACTACATTGTATGCTCTTTCCATCTTTGTTAAATATTAATTGACCATAAAGGTGTGGGTTTATTTCTGGAGTCTGTTCTGTTCCATTGATATATATGCTTATTCTTGTGCAAATACCCGGCTGGTTCGATTACAGTGGCTTTGTAGTATAGTTTGATATCCAGTATTGTGATCCCTCCAAGTTTGTACTTCTTTCTCAAGATTGCTGAAGCTATTCGGGGTCTTTTGGTTCCATATAATTTTTTTCAAATATTTGTTATAGATCTACAAAATATGCCATCAGCATTTTTATAGGAATTGTGTTGAATCTATAAATTGCTTTGGGGAATATGGGAATTTTAATGGTGCTAATTGTTCCAATCCATGAACATGGTCTGTGCTTCTACTTGCTTGTATCTTCTTCAGTTTCTTTTTAAAATGTCCTATAGTTTTCTGAGTCAAGGTTTTTACCTTCTTAGTTAACTCCTAGGTATCTTATTTCTTTGTTGCAATGGTAAATGAGATGGTTTTCTTAGTTACTCTTTCTGAAAGTTCATTATTGGTGTATAAAAATGCCAATGATATCTCAGTATTAATTTTTTATCATTCCACTTTGCCAAATTCATTTATTAGATCTAGTAGTTTTTTTTTGGTGGAGTATTTAGGGTTTTCTATGTACAATATCATATCATCTGAGAATAATGACAGTTTCACTTCTTCTTTTCCAATTTGGATGCCATTTTTTAATTAAGATTTTTTAAATGTAGATATTATTGTAGATTTGCCCCATTTCCTTTCCCTGATGCTTTGCCCACATCCAACTACCCTGCCTCCTTCTCTTTTGTCCTTAACCATGTATTTATTCCTCTCATCTGATCACAGTGGCTAGGATATCCAGTACTATGTTGAATAACTGCGGTGAAAGGATCATCCCTGTCCTGATTCTGATCTTAAGTGAAACAATTCTAGTTTTTCCCATTGAGTATGATGCTGGCTGTAGGCTTTTCATATATGGCTTTTGTTATCTTGAGATATGATCCCTATATTCCCACTTTGCTGACAGTTTTTATCATAAATCAGTGCTGGATTTTATCAAATGCTTTCTCTGCATCTATTGATATGATCATGTGATTTTTATTTTTCATTTACTGTGTTGTATCACATTTATTGATTAGTGAATATTTTAGCAACCCTGCGACCCCAGGATAAATCCCACATGGTCAGTATGTATGATCTTTTTAATGTATTTCTGGATCTGATTTGCTAATATTTTCCTGAGGATCTTAGCATCTATGTTCACCAGGGATATTGACCTATGATTTTATTTCTTTGTGGTGTCTTTATCTGGTTTTGGAATTAGGATAATGTTGGCCTTGTAAAAGAACTTGAAGACTTCCCTCTTGAATTTTTTGGGATAGTTGGAGGAGGATAAGTGTTAGTTCTTATTTGAATATTTGGTAAAATTTGCCAGTGAAGCCATCTTGTCGAGGACTTAAGTTTTCTGGAAAATTTTTTAATTACTTTTTCAGTTTTATTATTTGTCATTGTTCTATTCAGGTTGTCTGATTCTTCCTAATTCCATTTTTGAAGATTGTATGTTTCTTGACTTTGTCTTTTTTATCCAGGTTGTCCAATTTTTTGGCATATAGTTGTTCATAGTATTTTATTGTTATTCTTTGTATTTCTCTGATGTTGGTTGTAACTTCTCCTCTTTCATTTCTGATTTTATTTGTTTGGGTCCTCTCTTTTTGTTTCTTGATGAGTCTGGCTAATGGTTCATCAGTCTTCTTTATCTTTTCAAAGGATCAGCTCTTTATTTCATTGACTTTTTGTGCTGGGTTTTTAGTTTCAATGTCATTTATTTCCTCTCTGATTTTTCTTATTTCCTTTCTGAGGGCAGGGAACTCTGGCAAGGGAGGGGCTTCTGGCCAGAGATAGCCGTCTATAATCTTGGGGCTTGGGGCTTTGCTGAAACATTCCTTCATTGCTTTGTTTCAGGCTGGACACTGCCAGGTGCTTACTGCTTGACCTCTGTTTAAATGAGGAACTTCAAGACTAAACAGTATGGCTCTTTTCAGTTACTGCATGAAGGAGTTAGACTAGTCCAAGTGAAAAGCAGACCTTAATGGTTACATTATGCAAGCTGTGAGATTTTTTTGTGGCAAGGAACAGAGGGAAATCCTACTCATCGCATGGAAATCCTCACTTAAGCTCTAGTGAACCAAAAACACTTAAAACCCATGAACCTTCATCTGGTCATCTTTAGCCAGTCTAATCTCTATAAGGAACTTGCATATGTTCTTACACTGGTCACCCTATAGCTGAATTACTTCTTCATATTCTAGATGCTCAATTACAGTATCATTGCAGGCAAAGTTCTTCTTAAACACCTTCACTAGTTTCTTTATATCATATCCTCAGCAATCCCTTGGACAGTAGTAAGGGTCTTCCTGTAATTTCTCTGTTGAATTCTTGTATGGATATAGTCCTCAGTGCCAGCAGGAAGCAGAACATCACCCTTACTTGCATCAACAAAGGGGTGGAAAGAGTGGAGGTTCTGGATAGTGGCTATACCATACATTCCTTTTCCTTGGTAATAACTGCCTGTGGAAGACTGCTGAGGAAGAAGGCGTGCGCGCGGGTGTGTGTGTGTGTGTGTGTGTGTGTGTGTGTTTGTACTGGAGCATTGGGAAGTGAGGGTGCTCTATGGAGGGGTTGCTGAGTCCTGGCTGGGGATCGATCACTGACTGGGCATTTTTTTATACCTTGGTCTTACAAATAGACATATTTTAAAAACTTGTTTGAATGAATGATGTTTTAAAAGAGACTTAATGTAACACATTATATGCATATTTGATGTATTTGAATTTAGTATTATTTTTATCACAGATCTCAACTTTCCACAATGGAAACTCAATTGAAAACAGGTAAAACATTTAAAAATTTATTCTTTTTCTAACCTCACCAGTTTACATAACTAATTGGTAAAAATAGCCATTCTAAATTTAGTATCATAAAAATTTTTGGTTCTTATCTTTGCTTACCACATTGCACTCTTATCTTTGATTAATGATGTTAGATGCTGTCAAAATCAAAATTTTTAAGTGAAAAATTTAAATTAAGGACCAGATATAGTGTACAAACCCACAATTCCCCCCTCCCCTGCTGAAAACAGCAATTACATTTGTAGATAGTGAGAAACTGACCCTTATTTGGAAGTAATTATCATCATTCAGAGGCATGACTTTAATATATAACAGTGTATTGCTGAATCACACACACACATACTTATGTATACATGAACATAATTGAATTAATTTATACAGTTAAAACTTATAGTTTTCACTAGTGAGTCTGTTTGATTAACATATTTTGATTGAGTCACAGCCTGAGCAAGATACATTAGTGAATCAGCAAATTCTGTCAGTAAGAGTTAGGTTGCTATTCAATAAGAATAAAGTGTGTCAATGTTTCCTTTTAGTCACCGACTTGAATTATTGAGAATTCAAATTCAATGTACATGAGGCAATTATTCCTTAGCTCTATGCAGCTTATATGTAAAATTTTGGCTTTGATTGCCATACAGAGAAGAGGAAATAATTACCTAGAAGGATGTATTTATCTGCTACTTTACTACATTTTTTTTCATTTCTCTGTAGGGTTTCTCTTAGATCTTTTTAAATTTTATTTTATTGAATTTATTGGGGTGACCCTGGTTAACAAAATTATACAGGTTTCAGATGTACAATTCTATAGCACATTATCTGTACACTGTATTGTGTGTTCACCACCCCAAGTCAAGTCTCTATTCATCACCATTTATACCCCATACCCTCCTCCATCTCCCCATACCCTCTCCACTCCGGCAAGCACCACATTGTTGCCCGTGTCCATGATTTTTAATATTTCTAGATTACAGATCCAGATGAATTAATAATAATTAGGTAATAAATGTAATGATTAATGGCCAGAAGTCTTTAAAAGATCCATTTTAATGTCTGTTGTTATTTATATTTTTAAGAGTATATGTGTTTACTGTCACAGGAGAAAATTAAATATTGGCTTGTCACTTTACAAACTTATAGGTAGATTTCTTGTCATTTATTTTTTTACATTATAAATATGTATTATCAGTATTATAGATATTTGATAAGATATAAGAAAAATTATTAATAACTATCTTCAATATTAATGGGACTATGAACTGTGTCAAAATAGAAACAAATAAAGCCTGATAGTCTTATATTCATTAAGTTAAGAATGAATATTCTTATATTCATAGTCTTATATTCATTCATTCAGTTAAGATTATGATAGAACATGGCATACTACTATAGTTTTTCTATGAAACATAAGGAAGTGTAGGCTTTGAAAATGCTAGGAAAGCCAGTAATTTATCACCCTGAAACACATGAAGTGATATCTCTTTACATAAGTTGTTTTAATATTGAACATTTAGTTGCTGCTAATGAATTTGATAGACTATTTATATATTTGATGAATCTCAGAAAGTAAAAAGGCTTAAACAAAACTATTTTAAAGGGACTCTTTAGTCTCTATGAAGACATAGAAAGGCCATCTCAATTACTTTCCATGAGCTTTGGGGAAAAACCTTGAAAAATGATTGTGATAGTGTTACTGTGAGTTACTGCTTTTACCAGTCCCCATTCTACTTCGCTGAAAAGTCACAGTCAAGAGTGATGATGGGAAGTGAATAAATGTGGGAAAGGTTGGATGGGGAACAGCAGGCTGAGAACAATGGGGAATATAGGGCATCAGGAGCAGAAAAGGATTGTAGAATGGATATCAAATAGTTCCTCTTTAAGTGGTTTTTCTCTAGAAGTGTAACTTGATATAATGCTCCCTAACTTCAGGAAGAAGAGTATTTAA